ATGATTCCTGTTGAAAGAGCAAATGATAACAAAGGGATAACTCTAGATTTATGGATGTAAGACCCAGCATTTCATCTGCACAGTACCTTGGCATAAGTCGCGTTCACACAATTTACAGAAGATTGTCTTTGAACTCTCAAGATTGTTGGTATACTTCTAAACTGAAGCTAATAGATCTATTGATTCATTAACATAGAATGAGTATTTATTTACCCTTCTTTTCTTTTCCAGGACAAAAAGAATTAAGAACAGTTACCCAGGATGTAGTATATGCTCAGCCATTGCAAACTTGCCAGGTTACAAACAGCCTTTGAATCAGAATTCAGACTACAAAATGGTTATGTTGGATAAAATAACCAATTTCTACATAATCCTACTCAAAATACTGACCCACTGTGAACTGCATTCTAGTATCTTTGCTAGAGACAGATATAAACCTCTTACCATTTTTGAATGGTAGTGTTTTTGAACTTACAAGAAGTAAATGTTTTTATTTTTCAACAGTTGTTATTTCAACTATTCAACCCCCCCTATATTTTATACTACCTTAGAATAAGCAGCAGAAGGATAAAAAAGAGAGACAAAATACAATCCTGAGAAACAAAGAAATAAAGCATTTTGAGGATTCAAGTACTTCATTGTGTTTTGGTTCTGGTGGGGTTATTTTAGTTTGATGTGTTTTGTTTCCAGTCGATATCAGAATATTATGATTTAGTTCATGTTGACCTCATCACTCTCTAAAACTACCTGAAAGGGGACTGTCAGCCTTCTCTCAGGTAACTAGCAACAGGACAAGAAGAAATGGCCTCAATCTGGATGAAGGGAGTTTCAGTTTAGATATCAGGAAGAATTTTTTCACTGAAAGAGTGGCCAGGCATTGGAACTGGCTGCCCAGGGAAGAGGTGGAATCACCATCTCTGGAAGTGTTCAAGAAACAACTCAACGTGGCACTTACTACTATGATTTAGTTGACAAGATGATGTTTGGTCAAAGGCTGGGCTTGATGATCTTGGAGGTCTTTTCCAGTCTTAATGATTGTACATTCAGCCCAAAGAAAATTCCTAACTGGAAGTTTTAACTGTTAGAATGAAAAGTCATTAATGATAGGCAAGATCATGCTGAACTCTATTCCAGCTCATCACAAAAAATAGGCTTTAAGTCTAAACATTGAATTATTGTAACTGATAACAATGTACAAGCATGGTATGGGATTCAAGGAAGACTTTCTAGGCCTTCAAATCTAAAAAAATAATAAATAAAAATTTCATAAATTTCCTATCAAATTAATTCCAAGAAAATAAGCCCTGTGCTCTTACCTCACATGGCGGTTCCGTAACTTTCAACCTCAGTTCAGCTGATTTGATTTCCTTCCATGCCTTCACATCCAGAAATCTTCATTAGACCAAGTTCGTGACCAATTGGTTGTTAAACCTAATCTATGCTTTATCCAAACCAAAATGAAATTTTCAGCCACTTCTATTAGCCAATACTGACTCAGTAACACAGGCCCCTGCTATTTTATATGGGTTCATAAGGGGAAGAGGAGGACAGCACAACTCTTTGTGCTTAGTTTATTTATTGAAAAAAAGTGTCATCAACCTAGAAACTCTACATTAAACAGAGAATTATTATGCACAAAAACCATGTAATGTATGTTAACTAGAGATAGAGAGTTACTCTAGAGCTAACAACACATTTGTGAAAACAATGCCTGCCTCTTAGTGGGGTTTTTGACTTACACTTTTTAATTTTTCCATATTAGAAAATTATGTGCACATCCTTACTGTTATCCTTACAGTTGTAAATACAATGGATTAGGCAGTTAATGAAGACAGGTGAATCTTGTCCTACCCAGCAATATGCAGCCACTGATATTCCAGTTTGTGGAATGATGAGCTATTTAAACGCTCCTTAGTTAAAGATGAGCTTCAGCTGTGCAGTTGAATAATCAGACTATTGTCGAGAGACTGGGTTTCTTTAGCAGGTGTGCAAACACAGAGGTCTTCACTTTTCAAAAGTAGTCGATGGCAATTACAATCAGAGTGAGGATGTGTCACTCCAAATTTGTGAGTTGTTATTCATCAATACTTGCACTTGGAAACATTAGATTATTCTGCAAGATGCTGAATGTTCCTGTTGATTGAAACTATTTAATGATGTCAAATCAAGGCTTTTTTCTAAGCTGAATGAAACCTGTTCAATTTCTCTATCATTGTTATCACAACTGCAACAAAAATAAGCACTTCCTGTGCAAAAGGCCCCATTATTACTTCCAAAGATGAGAAACTGGTTTGCAGACTACCATGATTTGTGGACTAAAAAGCTCAAGGGTACTCACATAATTTTCATTAGGCACCTTAGAACCAAAATTTCCATGGCATGTAGTCAAAATTTTAGGTAAAATGAGGTCTTTAAGAAGCAGCCTCACATCAAATAAATATTGTTTAAATATGTGACCATAAAAGCCACACTTTAAAAAAGTTGTAATTCTATTGCATGCCACTGTAATTTCTGCTCTTATGACATTACCATTCCCTCTAATGTATTACCCCAGCCCTCCATACCGAGCATGTCACTGCAGACTCTGGATTCTTTACTTTTGCAAAAAACGCCACAGAACCCATGCGCTGGCAGGTGCCTTTGTCATTCCACACCTACCTTCAGGACAAAAGCTGCATGAGAAGCATTCGTTGGACAAGCTAGCAGGCAAAATTAGGTGTGAGGGAAGTGGAATGGACTGAAGGGTCTGTTTTGGAGGGCAGTCCCATTTGCAGCTCTGCTGCTTATGGCTTAAACATCTTCCATAGGAGAACAAAGTTCTTTTAAGGCATAATCCAGTCTGTGCCCATTTGAGGGCCCTGGCTTTATCTATGCATGGAGCACATTGTATAAATGGAAGTCAAGCTTGTGAGAGACTGTTTCTGCTCCCTGGCTGAATGACTGAAGTTTTATAATTAAATTGGCAATCATATGCAGTATAAATAACCAATACCTCTCCAGATGCATAATGAGGTCTGCACGTATTTTTGCAATCAAAACACAACAGTGAGAAAAGAAAAATCAATAAAAGCTTAGGAAAAAAAGAAAAACTTGGGGTACAAATAAACAGAACAATAGCTGCACTAATAGATATTTTCCAGCAGATGGAATCTTACTATTACACCGTATCCAAAATATGGCAAGAATTGTTTCATGTGCTGACACCTGGGCTGTCCATGCTGGACATAACTTTAGTGCAGGCTCAGATGAAATCAGGAACATGACTTCATTGCAGAAAATAGGAATAATATTTGTTGGTTAATAGAATGAATGAAGGATGATTTAACTGCAGATTCAAAATGCCAGCGGTGAAATATTGGTGTATTTAAAGTTGGCCTATTTAGCAATTTAACTGGCAGCTGGTGATTAATGTAGATATAAACTTTGAAACTACTTTTTCTTGAAATAAAAAGTTGATAGTGGTTTATATTTCAGTTTTTGGTTGTTTTCTGAAATGAAAGAATTTCTAAAAGCTGAAGAACGTGAATGGGAATGGTGAAATACAGCAGCTTTCAAAGTTTTCAGAATAGCCATGATGAGAAGAGAGTTGGTTTAGGCTTTAATTGAATTGATAGCAACAGTGTGGGACAAATGTTTTGATTTGTTATTCACCATATTTTTGAAAACGGAATGACAGATTCAAGTGCACTTTTAAAAGTTAATTACCTGTTATCTCCATTGTGCTGCATTATATACCAATAGAGTTTTGTAATTGAGCCACTGGGTCCCTTATTCAAATCACTATTTTCAATTATTGACAAATAAAGCAATCAAATATGATGCTTCAGCAATGAATTAGCATCATATTAGAGGGAAAAAATTTGAACATATTCACTAATGTTGTTACTTGATGACTCACCAACATGACTTCAATCTGCACAATTATGATTGTTGTACTAATCAGCTCAGATTTTCTAGCAGTTTACAGGCAAGCTTAACAACAAACAAAGGTGCCTAAACAGTCTGAGGCAAGAATAATTCTCCCTTCTGGATCCAGTCCAATGCTCATCTAGGCAAGAGGACACTTCATTGCCATTTGCACAGGCAATAGGTCACATCTTTACTAATAGATCTGAAGGAGGGAGAAACCATCTTTTTCCTGGTCACTGAAAGAACTTCCAGTGATGGACAAGAAGGACTGTTTAAATCTGTGACAAGTTACAAGATCAACTGAAAATAAAGCAAAACTACTAGGCTGGAGATTTGATGACTTGAACGCATCCTTTTAACTTGCCCCAAAACATCAGCATTAAGGGGACTAATGTCCCCACTAATAAACATGCAGAATGAGGTTATTGACTGGCTTGCCCTATACATGCACACAGTGCCCAGGGCAGGCTACACAGACAGAGATTCTGCACAGCATTTTAAACACCTCCCATCTATCTTTCTAGAGAAATTAAGGGGTAATGCGAGATGGGCAGACAGGCTCTGACCCCAGAGTAGCAGACAAACCAGTAGAGCTCAGCTAAGATGGAGGACATAAATAAAAGAGGAAATAATAAATATATATTTATATAAATAAAAGAGGAACACGGTCCAGAGTCTTTCAGTGTTGCAGGTACTGATGGACCACAGCACCCTGCTGCTGCTGGGTACCAGCAGTGAGGGCTTACACACAACACTCTTCACGGCCTTTATCTGCTTGCTAAGATCAAAACCTTGAAAAAGCATTTGCTGTTTGTGATAAAACGATCTAAGATCACATGCTCTCTCATATTACAGTCAAAGTCTCAGGGTGTCAGTACAGCAACTGAGGGCTGAGTGCCACCCACACTCCCCTGATCTGTCCAGGACCCTCATGCAGCTGCAGCCTTGGCAGGTCGGCGCTGGTACAGCCACTGTGAGATGTACGTTTGGATCAGCTTGTTCCAAATCAGATGTTAATATCTTCTCCCCAAGCTTTTCAATCATAAATAATTATCCATGAAAAAACAAGTTAGGTATAAGATTTCTCCTACCTTTCTACAGTGTTTTGAAATTGCTTTTCATTGTCTTTTGCTTTTCTGCTCCCTCTTCTGCTCTTCCAGCTGCTGCTTGGCAACACAGATTGTTGTGCAAAATATGAGCTCCTGAAGATTGTTCACTTCAATAAAACTTTAACCAGAGGCAAGCATGCAAAGTAATTGAAATGCGATGTTTCAAAAGCAGAATTGTGGGGTTTCCATTATGAAAGATTCTATCTTATCAGAGACAACATGGCTTTTGCTCAAGTGGACCAAATAAAGGATATGCAAGACCTTGCAAGATTAAAGCCTTGCCTGTCTGGGGACTGTTGTAACATCTCCATTGGGAAAGGAAACTCTTGTTTGCCTTACACACTAGCTCCTAAACACTGTCCAGTACCCCGGATGGTATGGCATGAACCAATTCACACTGTTTAATACTAAGCATAGGGGGTGTAGAGGACATTAGTTACTAGCTAAAAATTAGGACACATAAGCAGTCTCCTGCATATGCACAGCAATTTAATACGGCCTGGGGAAATTTCCATCACTGTTTGAGAATGCAAAATGGGTTGGTTTCACAGAGTCTTCACTGCTCCTTCCGTGATGCAAGTTTTTTCCCTTTGCATAACCAGCTTTTTTTTCCCTGAGAAATCAGGTTTTTATTCCATCTAATGAATGCCTTTTCCAGAAAAATCCTGGTTTTCCACTGGTACTTCTTTGCATTAAATAATTTGCCTTTCAAATAGAGCTGGCATTAAAAAAATAACCAGGCTTCATATGGGATAAAATAGCCAAGAGCTTTTTTTCTTAGATTTTTCCTTTTTTCTCCATATATTCTCCTCTATTTAACTCATTCCCCATTTTGTTTTTCACAGACTCTATTTTCCACATTCTTAAATTATCTTATATCTTCCTTCTGATGTTTTTTTTTTTTGTATTCTTGCCCTGGGCTTTACAGTACAGTGTGTGCTAACTAGACCCCAAGTAGGTGAATTATACTCTCCAGGTTAGTTGGACTTGTGAGAGAGTTTCTAGCAGAGTCTCTTTCTCTCTCACCTCTCTCTCTTTTTATTAATCTTTGATAACCCTCTTTTTGATCTGCACACTACACCCTTCTAATTTACGGATGCTTTTAAACCTCAGGCATGAGATTACTTCATTTGATTCATGGAAGACCATGAGCAGTTCAAATTAACCTTTTGCTTCCTTGGGGGAAAAAAAAATTTACTTTGGGGATTTGGTTCACCTGTTGAGAAGGAAGCTGTCTCTTCTTATTTACTGAGATTGCCTCAGTACCATGGAGATGACTCATGCATACTCTAAAGGGTTTAGATGGCACCGTAAATTCAGTTCTGGACACCATGGACCCAGTCCAGAGCAAACTGAGGTCAAAAAAATCATTCCCGTTGACTCCAATGCCAAACCTACATTGCACTGAGTGCACTTTGTTCCCACAGAAATTAATGGAAGATGCTGTTTGGTATAACAAAGAACCATCTAAAGGTGACACTGTGTTGGTTTGTCTACTAAAAAAACAACAGCATGAAGCGACATCATCTCAACACCAGCAGTTGTATCCTCTGACCTTTCCATATTTGTTTACCATCTTTTTTTTAAAAAGGTGTCCAGAAAGAAATGTGACCAGTGACCAAAGCATGCATTAAACCCTGCTTTTCTGCCAGACCACTGAGCAGGCACAAAGTTTGCAAATACCTCAGTAAAATGAGCAGAGGAATAACTCATTATTGGAAAAAGACACAGGGACCAGTTGAAAGGAAAGCTTGACCGGGATGGCACGTAAAGATCTACAGGACTGATCTTCAGTATGAACTTCTAAGAGTGCAAGGGACTACTTTGTTGGGGTCTGCAGAAAAGAGCTGAGGAAAGCATTCACACAAATATTACCAAAAAGCTGAAAGTCAGCCTGTGAGCAAAACAAATATGATGACTCAATGTCCTGATCCTGACATCAGAACTGGAGTGCAAACTCTCAAGCACTGCATGTGGTTGCTGTTTTTGAGAAACAGCTAGATCAGAGGTTTTTATCCCTGTCCCTGTCTGTCACACCATAGTGCTGAGAAAATAAAGCAAGGCAAGGGGTGAAAGAAGAACAAACAACGAATTTTGTTTCTGCTTTTCTAAGCACTTTACAAACAAGAACATGGTAATTAGAAAATGAACCCAGAAACTGGGTTAATATTCATGTAACACTACTTTCTTTTTTCACAAGTTTTTCCTCTGTTCCCCTCAGCATTCAGAGACAAATCTGATTCTTTAAATCTGGTCCACAGCCTTGGTCTACTTGTTTGACTGCAAGCAATACCTTGATTGTATTGTTCAAAAACTGCCCATGTGCATATCATTTTACAAGCCCACAGGAAAAGCCACAAACCTAGGAGGGCAACAGCACTTTATGAGGGTTTAATACAATACCACATTGTGTGTACCCAGCAGGGCAGAGCAGGGCAGTAGCAGAAGCCCTTTTTATTGAAGTGTTTCTACTCAGACCATCCATTTTCTGCCTCCAATAGCACAGGTTGCCACTACATAAAAAAAAATCTGTAGAAAGCATGAGAAATGTCAGGATGAATGTTGCCTTTTCATCTTCACAGAAGCTGCTTCCTGGCATTAAATTTGAGCATTATACCCTGCATGGCTTATCCTACTTCCTTGCTGTAGCCTATCTGCCTCTTTACCTCTTAATGAATCAGGACTCAATAAAACCTGGCTCGGTCCATTATACTTGTTCACTTGTAGCAGTTGACAATACACAGGGAATTCCTTAACCTCGGGTTTAGTGTGCCAAGTCACGGTGCAGATTAGTAGTTCACACAAAACTGTATATGATATTCAGGTTATCTCATTTTAACACCATTTTCTTGCTTTTGATCCCCCAGTGTGAGGGCGTTTCGGCACCAGGAGGTACCAGTCGGTTTTGACTGCAGTAAGAAAACCTCCCAGGCTTTGTGAAGGACAATTCAGAATCCTATTAGAGCTAGCGTTATAAGAAGAAATTAGCATGGATAATTTTATGTTCCTTTAGATAGTAGGAACCATGAGAGGTTTAACCCCCAAGGGGCCTCTGATCTCCGTGCAGCACACCATGCAGACTCTGTCCATACCATTTGTCATTCAACTTATGTGATTGTCTTACAAGAAAACAACTCTAGAACTCCTTTCCACTGCCAAACACTAAGGATGTTCACATGGCAACTTCTTGCTGCACTCATGCACAAAGGCCAGGCCGTGCAGGTGAGGCAGTGGTGGAACCCAGTGGGACCTGCCACAGACTCCTCTGTTACGCTGAGCTGGCTGTGTTTATCCTGCAGCTGAGAGGTTTGTGCTGTACAACACAGGCCTGAAGGTCACACTTCGTGTGCAGCACAGCAGAGCACAGCAATAGTGGCAATTTACAGACTGTGGTTTCATTCACTTTAACAAGGAAGTCTTGGGATCAGAGTGTTTTTCCTGGAATTGCATGGACTCTTTTCACATAGAGAGCTATCTGGGACATATAACCAAGCTTCTTCCTCCCTTTCTTCCTCCTCCTTCGTTTCTCTGCACAAGCCAAATACTCTCATAAATCAGTCTTTTCGAGTTCTTCAGGAAATAATTCAAAGTGACAAAGGGACCAAAGAAAGACCAGTAACTGGTGACACCAAAATCCACAGTAGCACCTGGACCTGCATGAGCAGCAGAACTTGCAAGATGTATATACAATCCTGAGCCAATGCAGAAAATATGCCTGAATTCATTAGCCTAGAGTGAAGCAAACTCACTGTGCTGTGGCACTGGTGGAAGATTTTGCTTCAAGGTCAGACAATCCCACAGGTTCCAGTGATTTTAGGAAGAAAATATCAGTAATACACCCGTACAGTCCTAGTTTCATGCTGCACTTACCATCTCCCCTCCAGCCTACTTGGAATAACTAGTGTGTCGAGACATATGAATGAATTATACACAGCCTTAAACTGCCAAACACTTGACTGCAACAAAAAGCATAAAATTTCAGCACAGTGTAGAATGGATGTAGGAAGAAAAAGGAAAAGAAAGAGAAAGAGTGAAGTATCAGGACAGATTGTTCTGCTCTGCATAATTCAAGTGACTACAGAAGAAGACTGTGTGTCCCACTGACACCCTTGCTACCTAGAGTAGCTCTTTAATATGCATGCAGCCAGCAAAATCAAGCTTAAAGACAGTGCAGTTAAAGGTAGATTAGAATTGAGATAGTCTCAGTATTCACAGTCAGATACATTAAAGAAGACGTATGAGTGTTTATTTGTTCCTTGCAAAGATATAGCCAGCCAGATGTCCGGTATAAAAGTGTTTAGTTGTGGCTGACCTCTCTTACAAAATACTACATGGCTATGGGTTATGGGTTAGCTGTGATTCAACCTTGTGAGTCATGATTTCATTCATTTTTGATGAGCAACTGCTGTCTTTTCAAAAATTATTTCAGGAAATGGCAGAACACTATCTCTCCTACAATCTCCTACAAGCAGATAGCAGTGTCAGTCACGTGTAGTCCTATTTTACAGTAAACGGACCAGAAAATAGGAAAGAACAACATGAATGTTTCCATGTGCAAACATAGAAGACTTCTCTTCACAGGATCATGGCTACATTACAAGGGAAATCAAGACCAAATGCTAGAATCACATAAATCCTTAAAATCCTCAGTAATCCAATATTAACACTGTCTTAGTACAGTGTGACATTATGTACAAGTGTCCCAGCAGCAGAGACAAAATAGCAAGACAGTAAGCAGTGAGCAGAACTGCCTTTATTGTCCACTTAAATTACATTTAGCAATGAACAAGTTAAATTGCCTCTGTTTGACTTCACTAGCAGTGTGCTTCAGTACAAGCACAAGTGCAAGCTGAACAAAAAATGGACTCTGTTGCATTATTTACAGCTCTTAGTACAAGTCGTTTTGCATGAGCATTTATTAATTGCCTGCAAAATCAGCGAAATATGTTCCGTGTGTGTCAGCTCAGCATATATTGAACATAATTGCACATTTGAGCCACACGGTTGTTTATGTCACTTTGTAATCATGCTAATAATTACCAAACAACCAAGTAATTCAATG